CTCTTGTCATAAACTTAGATCGGTCAATTTGTTACGTTTCTTAACTTCGTGTACATTGGAGACCTATAGTCATATTTTTCCCCTATATTTCAGTTTATGATTTAACAATTCTTTAATATAATTAGAGATAGATTTATAATGTTATGTAATTATTCATCACAAGCGGCCACATTAGTGACAATTTTTCATCGAGCATTTGTAGTTCTTGATGATTTTTTTCTTATCTAATAATATTTTCACGTCATTTTACACATCGTTGATTAGATTCTAACATATAATTATATAAAACTAAAATTGTTTTTTCAAAGGAATGGGGAAAAAAAAAGTGTTGTGTTAACATTAATCCTACATTCTTGCTGGCTGCTTTACAGGCCTGTACAGGCGGCTCACAATACACGAGAGTGGGTGACTGTACAGGCCCTATGCAAAATTTGTGTTAACATTATATGATACTACAAATATATATTATCCTTTATGTAGTGAAATAATATAACGTAACTGTATAATATTGCATACTGAAGTAATGCTATTTAACTTCACTGGGGTTGCAATACCAATTTAAGTGGCGCTAATATGACATTAATTGATATGTGAAATTAAATAACTCATTTAATTTTACATTTTATTTAACTTATCATCTAGCGTCATCTATATTGGAATTACAATCTCAGTTGACTACATAATATTACTCATGGTTCATTTTATGCATTTGGGTGAATTGTTCAAATTTGGAATGGGGACTTGAATCTAGCCTATGAATTTCCATACTAACCGACAAGTCCCCTTTGTGAAAAACCAATTGCTATCCAATGGATTAAACCGTCTCTTTGAATATGTTAAGCTAAATACTGATGAAAGTTCTAAATGTAATTATGGGCCAATGACGGGGTGGATTGGTATGGGATAAGAAAGGGATGCATTGTAGCTTGCTTTTTTATTTTTATGGAATGGGTGCGTGCTTTGAAGCTGAGCTACGTGCTAGTCGCAGTGAATTTTAAATTTATTGTCAATCGAGTTTATTTATGATTTAGGTCGAATCTGACTCTATTGCAGCAACTCAATGTATTCAACATTCTAAAATGATGGGTGTTTGTAATCTAAATTCTTTTATTATCAAAATCCTCAATGTCAAACCACCAAGAAAATTCATAACGTGGAACATACTTTAATTCTTTGATAGTTATTCTTTATTACCCGATCTTGAATCTTGAAATTTGAATTGCAATCTTTTCATGTTTGGCTTCTTAGCTTTTGATCGTGAATTTTGCCTCATTTGATTTTTAATTCCTGTTCTTGGTTTTGTTTATTGATTCATAGTTGATTATTGAATTATTTATCTTAATTCTTGATTGTAGATTGCCTGCTCTTGTTTGTGGGTTTTGAATATTTCTCAACAATATGTTTTCTTGTTTTCTTGTATTCATCATCATGACACAAAGAATGAAAAGTTGCATACGAATTGAAGATCATAACTCTATATATATCCATAAGTATATTGCTGATCATGAAATATAATTTTAAAGGAAATCTGGCTTCTACACATATAATTCGGCTCACACTAACCTGAACGTAACAATTTAATTCTTTATTAGATCACTTTAATTTTGGATTTAAGGGTATCTTACTATAATGGACACCGCCTCGAAGAACTTCTGGTTCTTTTCTTCTTATGTAATTTTCCTTTTATCCTAACTCTAGCAGACGGAGGTAACACTTCTATGCTTATAATTTTTTGCTCACCATATGTTCTTATGCTCCTTTAGACGTACTTTAAGAGATAAGGTTTATATCCTCCTCCATCCTGTACTTACTTACTATTAAGTGAACAAATCTACTCATAGGGGTACAGTCAAATCCTCCACTAAATTAGATGGAGATGCAACATCTTGCTAACGCTTGGATATTAATGATATTTTAATAAAAAAATTAAACTATATTTTCAATTAACTTAAGTCAACTATCTAACGAATTGTTATTGATCACTATACCGCTTGTTAATATATTCAATATAACTAGATCTAATATTTTTAAGTTACAACATACTCAAGTCATTTGTTTAACATATAGTATTAGAATTTCAATAGCTAAACATGATATTATAGTAGGTGATAAAGTAGCTAGAAGACACAAAAAAGTAAATATATTTTGCATAAAAAAATAATATTAATAACAACTATTATTCAATAATTCAACGCTCTATACAACCATTGACATATGTCCTTACACCAAACCACCATTATTAACCATTTCAAACCTAAATTTATGTTGTTTTAACCGAAATGTCACTCTATTAAATGTATGATAGTGCATGAAGGTACAAAATGGTTAATATTAACCCCCAATAAGTTATTATAGTATTGAGAACAAAATGTTAGCCTTACTTTATATAAGCTAAGCTATTTTGACCGTCACATTTCCTTAAAATATATTTAAAAAATTACATAATATTGATATGTTTAGTACTATGATTTAAAAATAAAAAAAAATTCAAGATGATTACAAAAAATGCATTCTATAATTACGAGATTATTTGGATGAGGAGATCACAATTATTAAGCCCCTGTTTTGCACCAATTAAAATTTAAATTTTAATCTAAGTCAAAGTGAATAATTAATTTATAATCATATATTTTATGAGTCCCACAACTTTTCAACAGCACGTTTCATAAACTTCTATCAAAATCTACTAAAAATCTAATTTTAATCCCGATCGAACAAAAGTTAAAGCTACAACTAATCTAGCCGTTTACACGTGTAAGTCATTACATGTCGCACATTTTGACACTCCTAGGACGGGGCCGGGATAGTTCTAGGGCCAAAACCCTTAAAATTTTAACTAAAAATAACAACTATCGAGATGGTTGGTGTTGCATAATATTAATATTAATTACTACAACATAGATTCATAATAATTTACAAAAATAGGTAAAGGGATATGGTGGGACCAACCACAGATGGAAAATTAATGAAGGGGAATTGATAAAAACCATCATGGACCCGTGATAGCTATAACACCTAAAAGGTTTTCATTATTTTTGCTCAATTATAAAATTCAATTTTAAATGAATTTACAAGAGTGTTGGGTGATTCTTATTCAGCCTTGTTTGGCATAAATTAAAGTCAATAATTAATTTCAATAACTCATTTTATGGGATCTATAATTTTTTTAACCACACGTTTCATAAATTTTAATCAAATTCTAATAAAAATTTGATCCCACCAAATAGGGACTTAATTTCTTATACTTTTAATGTCTTTAATTTATAAATAAAAGAGGGGCTATAACTAAAAAAAATTAAATTACTGCTACAATAGCTGTCCATCTGTTTTAGCCCTTGTTTGATTCTCATTAAATTACATTCCATTACATTCTATTTTTCTCTCTCCTATTTTCAATCACATAATCTTCCATAAAATAATATTACACGTAAATCGAAAATTTTTCCTTCTTTTTCAATCACTCATTTTTTCAACAAAACACTATTCCCCCCATTTTCATTACCAAAAATGGGGGCCAAACGGGGGCTTAGTGCTATGTGCGTCAGTCTGGATCAAGCTAATTTTGAGAACTTGGACCATAGGGCCACTCTGGTGAAGTCCATTTATGCTTATGGGCTGGCCTGCTTGTAAATAACACTCATGTTTTGACAAAGTTTAAAATTAACTAATTAAGTAAAAGTGCTTGTGAAGTAATTTGTATATTTTTTTGCTGGTGGGATTGTCACAAGTTACGTGCAGTCCAAACTCCAAACCATTGATGATGCGTTTATTGTGGCATTTGAATTTTTGCACTATCTTCTCTAGAGTCTTATATGGTGGTTAAGACGAGGAGATGTGAGAGGAAGGTTGGCCGGGGACTGCAAACGGTGGTGACGTACCCCTTTTTCTTGTTATATTGCCAATTAAGCATTGAATTGTATCACTACAATTATGGGTTAGGTCTCTGAGCCAGCCTATCCGGCCTCGATTTTTTAAAGCAGAAATTACACTCCAACCGGGGTTTAAGGATCACTTTTCTAAAATCAGGACTGAGGTTTAATTATTCACAAATTAGGTGATAATTCTACTATTAATTTTATTAATAAAAATACCTTTAATCTTCTTTCTCTCACACAATGACTCTACCCTCTCTACCTCCGTTTTCTTTCTATTGGCACTACACCACGATGGAGAGCGTTATCGCGCACAGCAACGATGAATGTGGATTTTTGTTTTGTTTTTCAAACCGATTCTACAATATCTAAAAAAGATTTGATGGTTTGGTATCTTTATGGCGACATTTCGATACTTTTTTCAAAGTTGAATTTGTATATATAGTGAGATTTATTTATTTATTTATTATTATTATTATTATTATTATTATTATTATTATTGTTATTATTATTATTATTATTATAATATTTTTTTGGGTCTAGAGGTGGCGGCGGCTTCATTGTTAGAGGAATTGATTGGTCTTATGATTTGAGCATGGAATTGAAGTAGCCTTTAAAAATTTTGAAGTGAGTTAGTGAATTTAGAGCTAAAAAGTAAGGGGTTGTTCTCATCGTATTTCAGTTTCATAGTTTTGAGTTTTGAATTTATTTTGAGTTTTGTGTTTTGAATGTCCGTTTTGAAATTGTTGAAAATACGTTTTCTTTGTCATTCTGGAGAATTATTTCTCAAAACATAAAACTGGAAAATGCTTTTTACTTTGAAATTTTGAGAATATTTTATTTAAGAAATCTGATTATTCAATAAATTTTAATACTTTAATATTAATATAGTATTAAGCATAGTATTAGTTGAACTTTATAAAATTATTTCATGTTAGTCGTTGGATTTTATTTTTATTTTAAACTAGTAACCAACTTCATTTTTTGTTCCAATTTGACCATTATGCACGTCTCCGTGATTAAAACTAATGACTTCTCATATCTCATTGATTGTTTGAAGTTCTTAAAACTAATTCCATTTGTAATTATTTTTCATTTCCATCACTACGCAAGCAATGAAAAATATACAATAATTAGTAGCAAATTCCACCTCATTTTGAGTTGGGACAATAGTTTTTAATCGTACATAAATACAAAATGGCCAAACCAAAACAAAAACATAAATCGAAAACGTGAAACATGTTCGTGAAATGTGAAACTTATCTTGATTAAAATCTCGGGCGTACAAATTACTTCCAAAGTCTATAGTCCTTTCGAGGCAAATAACACATTTGATGCTATTATTATTATTATTACGGAAACATCCCCTCTATTCTAATACAAAAGTATGTGTGCAAAATATGTCGTGGCTCCATAACTTTGATTTTCATTTGCAATTTGGTTGTGCAAATTTGATCTTCTTTACTGACTTGCAAATTTCATTGCAACTCCAGCCGAACGAAGCAATACATACATTGTCTGCCTGTGCTTTCTATTCACAATCTGATTTCATTGAGAAAAAGATAAATTCTGGCCAAACAGAAACTGCACAAATTACCAACTAATAGCAGTGATAGTAGCCTTACGCTAATATGAGTTACTATCAAACCATTACATGGAAGGTCAAATAGAGGCCTTAATGTTACCAAAAGAAACATTAAAAAGAAGCAGAATTTTAAACAAGTAGTTGGGTGACGGTAACCTGTATGCATAAGAACTGAACACGGAACACATTACATTCCATCTATAGTTTTGGGTCATGTATGCAATGAAAGTTATAATATAGACCAAAAATCATACCAGCCACCAGATCAGAGTCAACCGTGTATATATCTGTTCCCCATAGTTGTCCACCCCTCACCTGTAAAGTAAGCACTCTTAAGAACTCAACATGATGGGTACAGCAGAATTTGGAAACAAATTACAGACTCAGAAAAGGGAGATAAAGCAAGAGGAATGAGAGACGGAGAGATAAGTTTAAGATGCCAACATTATTTGCAACATACTTCTAAAATTAAGCCATGACCATTTTTACATTGTTCTACAACCTTCAACTAAGTTGTATGTTTCATTAACATATGATCTTCAACTAATAGTGGCCACATTTTAACTACAGCAGGAGTACTCCAAAGAGCATTTGCTTCCTCCATTTGCATCCTTTGAAAACAGGTTATTCAATCTATAATCAGTTTATTCATGATTCAAGGTAAAGAAACACCACATCCAATGTCATTACAAGTTTCAAAAAGATTTAACTTTCATTCTTCAAAAAAACAAATTTCCAGATACTATCATAAAATTCAAGCTATAATATCACCACACTGAAGCTTGGCCATTCATGATCATTACAAATCCGGTATCATGTTGATTTCACTCCACTCCACTCCATTCGGCTCCCAAATATTGGACACATGAATATCAATACAGCCTTCAAAGCGTACAGACCGCTGAGTTTCATTCTCGAACATTGATTTAACTTATATAAACGAGAAACCAGGCGGGAAAGAAAGTAGCTATATCAGCACATCTAAAAGTTTCACAGTATTGGGTCCCCCCTAGTAATTTTTAGCTAAAAACAACTCCACTCTCTATTAGAAGCAAATTTTTGCAACTAAAGTTCCTTCATGGCACATTATATTTCTCAATCCTTTCATCAATGACGGGCACCATACCCCATCCATCAACATTCAACACTAAAATTTTAAATCAATACTAGTACAAACTCTATAAACCATTTTTTTACACCACTGCTTCACAATTACATTGGTCGTGCTTCATTGAAACTTCTCTCCCCTCAATTTGACACTGTTAAACAGAATTACTCTAAACATTTTTGAACTGGAAACCAGAACTGTACAATTCATAAGATTGAAAACCTATTCTCGAAAATTTGAAACCCCAATAGACACAATTCAATTACATTACACCAAACTAAAATCCAACCTCTTCCAAGAAGAAAAAAAGACATACTTCTTGTAATAGATAATAAAAGAAAAGGGAGTTGAAGAAATTTACTTGACAGAGGTGATTCCAGTACTACCACAGTGAACATAAATGAAAGGTGCAGGCGTATCTCGATAAATAGTCTACTGAAGGGGGATTCCTTTTGGATCCCCGACGACGACGTTTGGGGCCACAGCACCAGATTGATAAGGGCACAGCATCGTCTGCCTCTACTACACCTTGCCCAGTAACGAATCCTACCTAATTTCATCCAAAACAGGTGGTGCGAATGGGTGTGAGAGAGAGGATATGCGAGAGAGAGATGGGGGGAAACGGGAATGGCTATTTCTTTGTTTTGTAGAAATAATGTGTTTTGCTTTGAAAACTCTCAAAACGTCTTTTTGAGTTTCCAGTACAATATATTTTTTTATTTTTTATTTTTGTTTTGAAAAATTCATTTTCGAAAATAGAAAAGAGGACGCGTTTTCACCGTTTTCAAAAATCGAAAACAAAAAACGGTCTGAAAACAGTAAAGAGAACAACCCCTAACTTTTTCTGAATTATGGAGGGGGAAGGAGGTGAAGTGCAACCATGGCGATTCTACCGGTGACTTTTCAATTCCTCATTCCTGTTCTTTCCTGTTGATTTTTAGAAATTATGTTTGTGGTTTTGTTGTTAGTGTTGTGGGCGTTGGATGAGTTTGGATATCCAACATTTGTTGGGATTTGTTTATATATATTAATCGATGAAATTGTTGTTGTATATAATTTTTAAGTGGGTTAAGTTATATATATATATATATGCTGTTTGTTTTGGTTGTTTTCATGTTCACTTTTAGAACAAAAAATGCACAATGACCACTTTGTCTAAATTCGGTTAACTTGGAATTTTGCAGGTGATGGAGGGTGGTGTTAGTGTAGCTATCAGGCTTTCTCTATACATTTACTTTTGATCAAAAAATATAAGCTTAAAAATTACCAATTCTGTTACTTTTGAAATCATCGTTTCTTCCTCTATTCTGTTGGTTATTGGAGTGGTGACAATGCAAGTGGTGGTAGTTTGCAAATATTGGTGGTGGTAGTGTTACTAACAGTGGTCACATGTTCATAAAGTGTACAATATGACTTATGACTTGTGAATATAATTCTATGACCTGTGACCAATTCTATTTGATTCGTGACTTGCAAACTGTCAACATTGTTTCGTGACCTATGCACAATGACTTGTGACGTGTAAACTGATTATATGTCATTTGTCTTTGTGCACTTGTTACAGGTCACAAATCGTTGATTTATGTTCATAGGTCACATGTTGTATTATATAGGTCACAATTAATTGGTCACAGACTATAGTTCATAGGTCAAGGTTATGTTCGCATGTCAATATTAATTGGTCACATGTTATAGTTCACAGGTCAAACGTTCTAGTTCATAGGTCACAAGTCATATTGTATTGGTCACAAATGTTCACTCGTCAAATATAATTCACAGGTCAATATTAATTGGTCACAGATTATAGTTTACATGTCATATGTCACAATGTTTACAGGTGACAGATCCAAAAGAATTGGTCACAAGCCATTGAAACAATATCACATGTAACAGATCAATGTCCACAGGTCATGAATCCAAGACATTTGGTTACAAGCAAGTGGATCAATATCAAAGATAATAGTGTACAGGTAATTTAAATTGAAGTTCAAGTAGGTAATATGCAAATTCTCATCTATGTTTTAGTAAATTAAAAATCTAAACAATCTGCCACCCTTGAGATGCTATACTCATGGATGGTAGCTTCCATCTTCAAATCTAATTCAAAGCACTTTGCCAACAATTCAGTGCAGCAACTATAAAAATGTTAGTCATCGTCTTCAAAAAATTCTGATCTACCATAACGATAACTTTCAATTTGTGATCTCAATTGTCCAATTATTTTCAATCAATCAAATTCCAATGGTGGTCTCTCTTCTGATCAACGGTAAATTTGTTCTTTAGAGAGTTTGATTCGAGTTTTAAAATTGTAAACCTTTTATCTTAAAATTGATTTGAGGTATAGTTAAGGCCTGAGATATGATTTTTCCTCCAAACACATTTTATGGGATCAATAACTTTTATCAACTTTTCAATCACACAATTTATTAATTTTTATTAAAATCTACTAAAAATATGATTTTTAACTTAACCGAAAGGAGACCGATTTCACAATTACATTGGTCGTGCTTCATTGAAACTTCTCTCCCCTCAATTTGACACTGTTAAACAGAATTACTCTAAACATTTTTTAACTGGAAACCAGAACTGTACAATTCATAAGATTGAAAACCTATTCTCGAATATTTGAAACCCCAATAGACACAATTCGATTACATTATACCTAACTAAAATCCAACCTCTTCCAAGAAGAAAAAAAGACATATACTTCTGGTAATAGATAATAAAAGAAAAGGGAGTTGAAGAAATTTACTTGACAGAGGTGATTCCAGTACTACCACAGTGAACATAATTGAAAGGTGCAGGCGTATCTCGATAAATAGTCTGCTGAAGGGGGATTCCTTTTGGGTCCCCGACGACGACGTTTGGGGCCACAGCACCAGATTGATAAGGGCACAGCATCGTCTGCCTCTACTACACCTTGCCCAGTAACGAATCCTACCTAATTTCATCCAAAACACGTGGTGCGAATGGGTGTGATATGCGAGAGAGGGATGGGGCGAAACGGGGATGGCTGTTTTCTTTGTTTTGTAGAAATAATGTGTTTTGCCTTGAAAATCTCAAAACGTCTTTTTGGGTTTCTAGTACAATATATTTTTCTTTTTTTTGAAAAATTCATTTTCAAAAATAGGAAAAAGAACGCGTTTTCACCGTTTTAAAAAATCGAAGAGAAAAAACGGTTTGAAAACAGTAAAGAGAACAATCCCTAACTTTTTCTAAATTATGGAGGGGGAAGGAGGTGAAGTGAAACCATGGCGATTCTATTGGTGACTTTTCAATTCCTCATTCTTGTTCTTTCTTGTTGAGTTTTAGAAATTATGTTTGAGGTTTTGTCGTTAGTTTTGTGGGCGTTGGATGAGTTTGGATATCCAACATTTGTTGGGATTTGTATATATATATTAATTGATGAAATTGTTGTTCTATATAATTTTTAAGTGGGTTAAGTTATTTAGCCCCCGTTTGACCTCCATTACCTGAAAATGAAAATGGGGGGAATCGTATTTTTTAGAAAAATGAGTGATTGAAAAAGAATGAAAATTTTTCGATTTACTTATAATATTATTTTATGGAAGATTGTGTGGTTGAAAATAGGAGAGAGAAAAATGAAATGTAATGTAATTAAATTTAATGGGGATCAAACGGGGCATATATATATGCTGTTTGTTTTGGCTGTTTTCATGTTCACTTTTAGAACAAAAAATACACAATGACCACATTGTCTAAATTCTGTTAACTTGGAATTTTGCAGGTGATGGATGGTGGTGTTAGTGTAGCTATCAGGCTCTCTATACATTTACTTTTGATAAAAAAAATATAAGCTTAAAAATTACCAATTCTGTTACTTTTGAAATCATCGTTTCTTCCTCTATTCTGTTGGTTATTGGAGTGGTGACAATGCAAGTGGTGGTAGTTTGCAAATAGTGGTGGTGGTGGTGTTACTAATAGTGGTCACATGTTCATAAAGTGTACAATATGACTTGTGACTTGTGAATATAATTCTATGACCTGCGATCAATTCTATTTGATTCGTGACCTGCAAACTGTCAACATTGATTCGTGACCTATGCACAATAACTTGTGACGTGTAAACTGATTATATGTCATTTGTCTTTGTGCACTTGTTACAGGTCACAAATCACTGATTTATGTTCATAGGTCACATGTCGTATTGTATAGGTCACAATTAATTGGTCACAGGCTATAGTTCACAGGTCAAGGTTATGTTCGCAGGTCAATATTAATTGGTCACATGTTATAGTTCAGAGGTCAAACGTTATAGTTCATATGTCACAAGTCATATTGTATTGGTCACAAATGTTCACTAATCAAATATAGTTCACAGGTCAATATTAATTGGTCACAGATTATAGTTTACATGTCATATGTCATAATGTCTACAAGTCACAAGCTATTGAAATAATATCACATGTAACAGATCAATGTCCACAGGCCACGAATCCAAGACATTTGGTTACAAGCAAGTGGATCAATATCAAAGATAATAGTGTATAGGTAATTTAAATTGAAGTTCAAGTAGGTAATATGCAAATTCTCATCTATGTTTTAGTAAATTAAAAATCTAAACAATCCACTACCCTTGAGATGCTATACTCATGGATGGTAGCTTCCATCTTCAAATCTAATTCAAAGCACTTTGCCAACAATTCAGTGCAGCAACTATAAAAATGTTAGTCACCGTCTTCAAAAAATTCTGATCTACCATAACGATAACTTTCAATTTGTGATCTCAATTGTCCAATTATTTTCAATCAATCAAATTCCAATAGTGGTCTCTCTTCTGATCAACAGTAAATTTGTTTTTTAGAGAGTCTGATTCGAGTTTTGGAATTGTAAACATTTTATCTTAAAATTGATTTGAGGTATAGTTAAGGCCTGAGATTTGATTTTTCCTCCAAACACATTTTATGGGATCAATAACTTTTATCAACTTTTCAATCACACAATTCATTAACTTTTATTAAAATCTACTAAAAGTATGATTTTTAACTTAACCAAAAGGGGACCAACATCCTAAACAATACAAATTGAGATTATTACAATTTAGATAATTGGAAATGTCTTCTGTAGATACATACTATTCATGAAAGTGAAGCGATTTTAATAGTACTATGTCACAACAGGCGATGATTTAAAGTAAGCATCGTCTTCTTCTTAATTAACAAATAATATGAGACAAACAAAATCTTAAAGTATAGCTGATGATATGATATGTAATTAATACTTTGAAGCTATCACTTTTGTCACACACAGGCTTCCTTGTTAGTATTAATTATCACTTCAAATGGTCAACATCTGCTAAAGATTTTTAAAACATTCTCTTTGTTTGTACATTAATAATTGATCCTAAAACTACTGTCTGAATCTTGATTATCCCAATTACTCTTTCCTATTACAGATTATTCATTGGATATTTCTCAACCTGAAACTCTCCAGTTTTATGAACATGTCCTCTGATATGAACACTCTTCTCTTCTCTATTTTAACAGTTATCCTTTTCATTATGGGTTCGATTATCACAAGATCTTACATATTGGCTTTGTTTGGCTTGCCATTTTACGTTGTAGCAGGGATCACAGTATCATCAGTGGTCACTTACATTAGAGAATTGATTTCAGACGACCACCGGCCACCAGTGGCTGGTCCGATGATCAATCAATTGATACAATTTAGCAAACTTTTTGATTATCAAACAACTCTTGCTCGGAAGCACTCTACATACCGTCTAATTACTCCCTCGCATACTGAAATATATACTGCTGATCCAGTCAATGTTGAGTACATCCTTAAAACCAATTTCTCTAATTATGGCAAGGTAAAAGTACTTGTGCAGGATAACTTCATAGGTGAATCGCACGTCACTACATGCGAGAACACAGTCGAACATGGACCAGATGTTGTGTAGGACGCTCTAATTTTCGAATGATGATTCTAATTTTTATCTCTGATTTTCCTTGTAGGGAGAGTATAATTGTGGAATAATGAAGGATCTTTTTGGTGATGGGATTTTCGTGGTGGATGGTGATAAATGGCGCCATCAAAGAAAGCTTGCAAGTTATGAATTCTCCACAAAAGTATTGAGAGATTTCAGCAGTGCTGTTTTTCGATCTAATACAGCTAGATTATCTTTGAAGGTTTATGCAGCTGCACTAGCTAATAGAGAGATGGATTTACAGGTTTCTTGCTCAGTCTGAACTTCAAAAAAATGCTTCACTCCTAATATGTTACATTCATTTTCTTAACTTGTCTGGAGGTGTGGTTTCTGATTCAGTAAGGGTTAAATATTTCTTTTAAATAGTCTTTCTTGAAGTGGAACCTAGATGATGAAATTGCTTGCTTTAAAGAAATGGGGCGAAGTTAATGGCATTGAAAATTCAATTGCCCCATAGACGCTTCGATGCTTAAGTATTTGCATGAACGGAGATTATTTCTTAATTTGATAGTCTAATCTATGTTCTTATTTGAATGAGTTACTAGGAGGGTAAATTTTTATACATAGTGCATATGATAGATTAGATCTTATACAGATATATAAAGAACATCTGAAAATAACTGGATGCTGAGTTGGTTGCATTGCTTTATTGTATTTATCTCAACCTGGAAACTGTTTTTTCTTTTTTTTTTCTCCCTTAACAGGATCTGTTGATGAAAACAACTATGGACTCAATATTTAAGGTGGGATTTGGAGTTGACCTTAATACGCTGTCTGGTTCGGATGAATTCAGTAATCAATTCATTAAAGCATTTGATGACTCCAATGTTATTGTATATTGGAGATACGTGGATGTTTTATGGAGGATTAAAAGATTTCTGAACATTGGGTTGGAAAGGACTCTCAAGAACAACATCAAAATCATCGACAATTTTGTTTATGAATTGATACATCGCAAAAGGGAGCAGATGAAAAATGTAAAGGTTCGCACAAGTAAAAATTAATTAATTCCATGTATTTCCTTCTACCCTTCCCCACGGGGAAATCTTCATTGGACTACTTGTTCAATTTTCTCAGGATTTTGTCATATTTTCCAAATTTCGTTTGGCTATTAACCCGATAGTTTGATCGCGTAATTAATATAGAATTCTCAGATCAGTATTTCGACTGTATAGGATGCAAGAGAAGACATGCTGTCGAGGTTCCTTGTAGAGAGCGAGAAGGATAGAGAGAAAATGACTGATCAATATTTGAGAGACATAACTCTGAGTTTCATCATTGCCGGCAAGGACACATCGGCGAACACACTAACTTGGTTGTTTTACATGCTATGTAAAAATCCTACGGTTCAAGAAAAGGTTGCCCTTGAAGTCAGACTAGCAACAGAGGTTAAGGATTTCTTATCTTTTGATGAATTTGTCCTCAGATTAACTGATGTCGCATTGGAAAGAATGCAATATCTACACGCAGCTCTAACAGAGACTCTCAGGCTATATCCTGCGGTTCCTCTGGTAAAATTTCATTGAAAAGAAGCCATTTTCTCATATTCTTTGATTACAATGTTCGTCAATGTCGAGGTTAATTATAAAGTACACTTTGTTTGATGCAGGATGGTAAGAGTTCAGAAGACGACGATATTTTACCAGATGGTTACAAAATAAAGAAAGGAGATGGCATGAATTATATGCCCTATGCTATGGGAAGAATGACATACATTTGGGGAGAAGACGCTGAGGAATTTCGACCAGAAAGATGGCTTGAAAACGGCATATTCCGGGCCGAAAGCCCTTTCAAATTTACTGCTTTTCAGGTTAGAATCCATCACGACTCTCTCATTTAACAGGTAATTCTGAATATTCATCCTTCTGTTTTATAATCGATCGTATCAGGGTGGACCTCGAATATGTTTGGGGAAGGAATTTGCTTATAGACAAATGAAGATCATGGCAGCTGCTCTTATCTTCTTCTTCAGATTCAAACTTGTTGATCAAAGTAAGGAAGCTACTTACAGAACTATGTTCACTCTTCATATGGACAAAGGGCTGCATCTCTATGCTTTTCGTCGCCAAAGCTGAAACTATCACTCCCATATATATATATATATTATCATTGTATCCTTAATTCTTCTAAATAAATATATGTGGTTCTAGTTCTCAATAAAATGCACAAGTCTATTAACTTTTCTACTTTCTTCTATTTTTTATTAATTTTATAACACGTTATCAGCACGATTATCTAAAAATCAAAGTAAATTAGTTTAAAGATGTGTATGTGCAATTGGGGATTGCTTAAAAGTTCGTTGAAATCAATTTTGCGGAATTTTTTCCATGTCGCAAGACAAATATAATACATTACCATCAAAGTTTTATACTCTCATCACCAACCATAGAATCCAATTTATATTTATATTCCTCCTAAGCGAACTCTCTGTCCACGGAAAAGGAATTCAACCCCACATGCATTCTGCCCATCTACTTTTAATCATAAGTTAATTCTCGTAATTATGTGTGAAATCCATCCAGTAAATGGTATGGATGCATTTACTGGATGCAATTTACGTATGGTTGGCACTTTTCGATCATTGACTTTATCCAATTGTTGTCTATGGTTTCATTATTATTATTTTTTTAATTTTTTTTACGTTAAATTTTTCATTGTTAATGTCTAATGATAATTATATAAGCATATATGTCTTAATTTTTTTTCTTGTTTATTGTTCAATTAATTATCACGTTCTTATTCTTTTTAATACATAGTATAGTTTATGAATTTAGTACTCTTTTATTTGCCTATTACAAAATATTATTGCTCCTGAAATAGCAAACTATTATCGACAAATATTCTAGTTAAATTTTACTTGCTCCGGAAGAGTTTGATTAAATATGATATAATGAAAATTATGTTTTTACTCTTAAAGAGATAATTCTTGTATAATTTATTATATTAATATGTGAATGCTCCTAAAGAATATGAATTATAATTTTCAATATTTTAGAACGATTTTGACATATTTCTCTTGAAAAATCAATAGTAAAATATTCTTAATGAATATTATATTAGTGTTTCTGAAAAAGTATAAATCTTAAAATTCTAATAAGATGTATAGCAGAAGTGCAATCATGCACACAATTTTCAAGATAAAAGTACTTACAAATTTAATATTACCAGAAACTAATGTTAATACGATATAGGTGCATCGAATATTGTTAAAATTTTCCAAAAAACGTGTATTATTTTATCAAATACTACAAAATTATATTTTAATGATGCATTATATTCTAACAAATTTGAATTCGCTTAGTTTAAAAGATACCAACTAAAATAGATATCACATTTAGACTATTCAAGAAAATATTATAGAATATATTTGCATAATTTCCTTTGTATCTGGCTAGAGGCAAATAAAAGAAAAATTCCCAACATTCACTTCTGGCATGTAGTATACATTCAAATGATTGAAATCAACTATTATCATAAACACGAAATTCATTGACCATATATTGACTCTTTATAATATGGAAGAGTTGTATTATTATCTTTAAATCAACGGTGCAAAAATACGACAAAAAAAATTGATATTTCAGCATTTCATCGTTTGATCTTTGTGGAATTTGAACAGAAAATTCACAACTCATTGTGTTTCAAATTCAATTGTTCATATGAAAATTCAATGAATCATTTATGAGAAATAGCTACGTGAACAGTAGTAAATTTTTAAATACTATAAAATCTTCAAATTTACATTTTTGAAAAATGTGAAATTTGTTAACTATTCAAAGTTTTCAAATTCAATTAAGTATATTCTTTAATAGTCTTTCTATGCCAATTATATAATATATCTTTGTGCTCCTAAAAAAACACCACTAGAAATTATATTTGTACTAAATAAATATAACATCCATGTTCCAAAAGAAGCACAACTCACCTTACATAAATGTTTCAGAAAGAATTATCTATTCCTGAAGAGCATATTATGACAATTTCAATAGTTTAGAAGACTGTTAATATATTGCTACAGAAGAAGTAAAAATAATATATATTATTGTATTGTGTTCCTTAAGAGGCACAAATCTATACATATTAATTTTTTAGAAGAATGTTATGATTAATTTAAATATATCAATATTCCAAAAAATTATTATGTTGATACTATAAAAGAGTCATTACTGCATTGTGTTGGAAAATAAAATTTTACTATTAATAGTTATTTATTCTTTACTAAGCCCTTATTTGGTATCAATTAAAATCAGATTTTGATTTAAGTCAAAGTTAAAAATTAATTTCAATAATGTATTTTATGAGTCTACAACTTTGCAATCACACTTTTCATTAAATTCTATCAAAATTTATTAAAAATCTAATTTTGATCATTACCAAACGAGGCTAAATTAAAGAGAAACATATTAAGTTTAAAATAATTTGATTTTATTGTTTGGCATTAATCCTATAAATTCATATATGTTATTTGTTCTCATTATTGAGAATCGATCAATCCTCACTAGCTAAAATAGGAATTGGGTTTTCTACATTTCTAAAAAGTAATTAGGGTGACAAATAGTATCCCATCATCCTTCACGTTGATCGTCTAGACATTATTCGTATATAATAGATTTGATACGTCTACTAAATGATTGTATAGTATTTGCAACCTAAAGTTTACGAAATTATTGCTCAAATTTGAAGTCATGGGCTTAACTTTTAGATTCCCTAATCAAGACATGGTGTCTTGTTAATGCTATGACTTTAAATCTTTATATTTTAATAAGTTTTGGTTGTGATGTCTATAAATAGTTTAACATTATTGTTTGTTAAACGCCTCCAGCTGATTCAATTGAGACACAAAATACTTCTCATTTATATTTAGTGGATGCTATTATGAATTATGCCAACATCAAGCTCTTCATATTATAATTGACTTATTATCGAGCCTGATTTCTTAATTAAATAATATGATAGTGCTATCTATGTACAATTAATTCATTGCATTGCACTGAGATGAAAAGTAAAAAATATTGAGAATAAATATATAATTTGAGTTCTTATCCCGAATGGATGATATTTTGCCCTTGTTTGTTTCCCATTATTTGGCCATTGAAATAAAAAATATGATCGTTATCTATCACATCAAGTCACAAAATTTGAATTTTTATCTTTTATGTGGGGTCCATAACGACTATATTTTTCATTCTCATTCTTCTATGAATGGTAAACAAACGGGGCATTTATGTTCCAGTTTATTGATTGTCAATTTGATTAAACAATTCTTTTAGCATTGGGGAAGAAATTAGGAAACTGAAAATAATGTATAAATGCATTATTATCTAAACTTTCACAAAAAATAATTCGAATTTAAAGTTCGAAAGATAATTCACTTAGATGCATATACTGACCAAAGAGATCAGCAAGTTTTCACACGTCAAATTTAAATGCTCCAGTTCGAATTAACATCTTGGAGAATTATTAGTTAACATTTTATTTAATAAATTTATGAGAAGCTTGAAACTTGCTGATATTCGATTATCATGTAATTTTTTTTAAATGAAAATGGAGCAATTAGCAAAAATAGCCTCATTAAGGAGGCATATACTCTCAAACGATATTTAGATATAACAAATCACAAAATCTCAGAAGAGGTCCAGGTATCTGATATGTTGAAAGTTGAGATATTTCAATAAGTTATTTCATTATAAAAAAGAATAAATTCGAAAAAGAAAAGGTTGCCAACAATCTTTTTGCATATGACGTATTGCATCATAAAGAGAGGAATCATGATAAATACATCGAAATATATCATCAAAGTAATGGTTGGCCAAATAAAAGGGACGCAATCCTAAATTGAATGTACTAGAGAAACTTGAATTTTCTGTACTTGTTGACCAAAAATCTAAAGGTGTATACTTATGTGAAAAGGGAAATGAGAAAAATAAAATCGTAATATTTAATACACAACTCTCAATATATTGAATTTTATGATGTATAAAATCACATCTTTATCTTGACAATGCATGAAATTTGAAATATGATTGCAGCTAACTCATATGGTATGACTATCAATGTTATCCTTAAAGAATTTTATGCATGTATTATTCAAGTAACATTATCATGAGGGGATAAATATGCATTGTACTTTTTTTGACCAAGATTTTAACCCATTAGATTTTTCAGACAAGGTTTTTAACGAGTCAACTTTTGTAGCGTATTTAAAAGAATAAGTGTAATTTTTTATTTTTTATTTTTTTTTACATTAGAATTTTTTCACAAGAATTTTTAAATAAGATTTTAACAAGACTTTTTTTTGTGCTATGAATGCTCATAACTTAAAGGACATTTACCCTTAAAATAATATTCTAATATGTACTTCCAAAGAGATCAGCAAGAGCTATTTGTTGAATCATCATGTTACTATAGTATTGAAGGTTAATAAATATCTTGTATAGAGACGGTGTTATTTGAAGAAATTGACATACAAAACAATGATGAATTGGTACAAGGATTGAAATCAAGGAAAACAATTGTACTCTTTTTCCTTTAATCAAGTCTTCTCTCACTGAATTTTTTTAACAAAGTTTTAACAAGAAAAATATTTTGTAATATGTTATTCAATGGAGAGTGTTGTAAATAATATGATTATTAGTGAATGACAATTATGTCTATGCAACCTTATTTTTATTCCCTATAAATATGGGGTTCTGATTTTCCATAAAATACACACAAGCTATTAACTTTTATATTTTCTCTCTATTACACACACGAACAATATATGAGAAAATATAACGAAAGGGATAAGCATGAGGTATTACGAGGATGTTTGGGGAATAAGCCCTGGCTTAAAATATAGTTCTAGCATTGTCAATTAAAGAAGAATCAATGCCAGGATAGTAAAAGTATATATTGGATGATGAATTATTATTAGGCTAGTAGTTAGGGTCATTTTGACATAGTTTTTACTTTTGTTTTTATTTTTCTTCTTATGGAAGATTTTTGAAGGAAGCTATCATAATTTTTGTTTCAAAATTAATTTTTTAAAATACTTTCTATTCCAAAGGTGCTTTTAGAGAAAGTAACATGGAACCAACTTTCTCTAAAAGTTCTTTTGATTGTCAGAAGCACTTTCATAAAATTAGACAAACGGGTCCAAACTCCAAAGGCAATTTTTTAATT